CACCCCATCCCCCTCCTTCAAACCCCACACTACCCACCTGCAAACCCCACATCAACTCTACCCCCACCCACACACCCTACAAGACCTCCAACCACATCCCCCCACACCTCTTCCCACCCCCTCCAGCAAACCTCACAACCCACCGTCACACACCTAGCATGCCCAGCAGCCAGACAGGGGGAGAGCTGCTGGCAAGAGCTGTGGCTGCAGGGCCATCTGTCCCCGCATCCTGGTTAGTGAAGGGATCAGGAGGAGCTCTAATTTTTCTATGATAAAAAAGCCAAAAGCAAACATCAAAGCATATATATATTTAGAATTTATTCATTTATGATGATAGAAACACTGGTAGGCTTCCAAATTGCTTTAAAATGGTAAATATATCAATAAAACATTGCCCAACTGATAGATCAATATCTCTCTCTCTCTCTCTCATGCTCTTTTGTTTTCATTGTGCAAGAACATGGATTTTGGAGTACTTTAAAGAGTGAATTTGGCCAGCAGCATGCCTCTGAGGTACCCATGAGCCACCCTGTCAAAAGCCTTATCCTGGTCCAAGGGGTGGAAGGCAAAAGCCAGGCCTTCCCAGTGCACCAGCTCCAGGAGGTCCCAAACCAGGTACAGGTTGTTGAACATCAGACACAGTAAGGCAGCACCTGTGGGGGAGTGCATGTTAAATAGGGAAGTAATCCAGTGCAGGTGCGGTGCAGTGTGGTATAAGGCGATGTAGCAGGGAATCTTCCCCTCTCCTGAGGGGGGGGCAGTGGTAGTACAGACGGTGGCAGCAGCAGTGGTGGTAGCAGTTGTTCAGGGCAGCCACTTAAGTCATGCTTCAGGTAAAGGTGAAAGTGAAGATGAAGGCAGGGGGTGGTCTGCTGAAGCAGGTGGGGCAGGCAAGGTGCTGGAAGTGATGGTGGAGGGGAGGGGCCCACAGGTAGCACAGGTCCCCTCCCCACACTGTCCCCTGACCACATCTTGGCAGCGGGCTGGGTAGCAGGCTGAAACAGGAGTGCAGAAACTGGGGTGCAGTGCTGAGGTGCAGTGCAGTGCAGTTGGTTCCCCCCCCATAAAGCAAGGGCAGCAGAGGAACCCTTCCCCCACACCCATGAGTGGGGTGGCAACAGCAGCAGCAGCCCAAGGCAAGAATGGGCACAGCCAACTTCCCCCGAAACGTTCCTGAGAACAAGCCAACAGCAGTGGTAGCCAGAGGCAGATAGGGGCATGGCCATCTTCTCCCCAGAAGCTCCTGAAAGCAAGCTAGCAGCAGCAGCCAGTAGCAGCAGAAGCAACAGCAGCAGCAGCTTGGGATAGGAAAGGGAATGGCCAACCTGCCCCCAGAAGTTCCTGAGAACAAGCTGGCAGCAGCAGAAGCAGCAGCCTGAGGCAGGAAGGGGCATGGCAAACTTCCCCCATAAGCTCCTGAGAGCAAGTCAGCAGCAGCCTGGGACAGGAAGGAGCATGGCCAACTTCCTCCGAGAAATACCTGAAAGCAAGTAGCTCTGAGCTGCTTGCTAGGGCAGCTTTTTATACAGCTGAGGCCAACACACATGCCTACATGTGTGGATGCACCCATGGTGTGCAGAGTTGTATCTACTGCTCCACAAATAAAAATTGATTTTTTTAGGTTTTATGCCTGGATTTATTAAGTCTAATGATCGCTACACTCCCTAATACCAGAACAAGAAAGAAGAAAAAAAATCACAATCTCGTATTGTTTTGTCATACAACCTCTACTGTCCTGAATTGATTGTTTCAATCCCATTACAGAGACAACTCAAGGGCTCCATTGTGCAAGCCTGATGACAGAAGGATGACACGAAGATAAATTCCTTACAAGCAGAACAAATAATGATCCATGTTAAATACATGAAGGAGGTGGGGGGAAGGATTCACAGAGCTCTACTGAATAGAAAGCAGAGAGAGATGCACCTGAGTCCTCGAAGTGAGGAACTTTATTTATTTTTAGGAAATCTTACATACCTGAGTTTTTTAGTAGGTTTGAAATGTTGTGGCTGGGATGATCCAGGAAAGATGCTCCTTGCTGTTTAGTCTGCTTAGTTTTTTTAAACGTGAGGTATAAAGAACAATTGCTTTAGTTAAACTTTAGTCAAAATTCCTAAAGCAAACTTTTAACCAAACTCTTTAATTTTTAATTCTGCTTAGTGTATACCGTTTGAAGAATTTCTGGTGACTGCTTTTTCAATTTTGTTGTGAACTCTGTCCTTAAGATGATGAGCTTCATTGAGGGTTATGGATTAACACTCAAAGGCAACAGTTGTAGAGCAAACATCAAGGTTCATGGTTTATGCATTAGATAACTGTAGTAAAAGACCTTCTTTCTTTTAGTCCTGAAAAATAAATAAGGAAGCATTTTGAAATGTTTTGTTAACAAGTAAAAGCTTATTTGCCTTTGAATTCTTGCTGGATCTCAGCAACTAATTGATAATTGAGACTAAATTAAAACTGTTCATAACTTGTAAAATTATAATAATTTATTATCAATATCCAAATACTTTAGATATTATTCCTCTGTTTTTCCCTGTGTTAGTTCTTGGTGTGCATGTTATCCAAAAATATTAAAAATTCAAGTTCTGTGCCCAAGTCAGTTAACTGGCATTTTTGTTCTTATTGGCTGAATAAAGTATCGACAGTGAACAACAAGATACTTGGGATTTTTTTAAAAGACACAATTTATCACTGAAACTTAGCAGTTGCTTTTCAAAAATATTCCTATTGGTAAAGCTCTAGTGGTCAAATGAATATGGAAACAAACTTTATATGTTATTCTCTTCCTTGAGAAATAGTTTATCATCTTATAAATAATGCATTATTATTCAGCCTTGCGAAAGTAGAATTATTGGTGAGGTTGTAAGCAAATCCCTAATTTTAGGACGTTCTGTTCTTAGAAGTGCACAACCTTGAGACTAAGTATGTAACCTTCATGTTCTAATGATACAGGTTTCAGAAGGATGGAGTTTGATATGGGGTGTTTTGGGACTTTTTTTAAAAGGTATAAAAATGGGCAATTGAGGACAGACATTTAATAAATGTTCAGGCATCCATCCCTCAGGGAATGAAGTCAGGATTCCTATTGAAGCCATTCTTCATCTAACTCACTGACTGTCAAGTCTCTGGGGAGAGGAGTGAAGGCTCTATGTTTGTTTCCCATATATAATACAACCTACAGGCACACAGGTGTATTACAGGTGTTTATCTTTTAAAAGGTTGGAGGGGGGTGAAAAGAAGGAAGGGTGTTAAAGGAAATATGAGCTCTGCTCTGTTCCTTATGTGTAAGAGACAATAACATCAATTCTAAAGATGCAGGAATGATGTCCCACATAGTGCTAAGGCAGACCATATAAGCCAGATTTTGGAGTAAATGCCCCCACAACCACCATCCCCACACACAAAAGTCATTAAAGTAGAAAGCAAAAACAGTACAGAAATATTCCCAGTAATGACTACGTACAGAATTGTGATGAGAAGTTTAGCCCCAATAAATGTCAACAGGAGGTAAGAAGGCAGCAGTCAGAGGTCAGAAGGAGAGGCTTTAAACTTTTTTTTTCCTTGTTCCTCATCTGGTGTTGGATTGTATTGCTCAGTGGGTGCATCTATATGAGACGCTTAACACGCAGTAGCCTAATAACACTGCTCAGTAGTGTGCCGGGCAAAAAACATGCTAATACACTACTGTGCAGTGGTATTAGGCTACTGCTCAGTAAGCATCACTAAAAATGCATGCACTGGTGCTACTGTGCAGTAACTCTAGTTACTGCACATTTAGGTAATACTTCATTTAGCAAGTACTAAAATAAATGTAAAGTAACTACTGCACATTAATGAACATGTAGACATGCCCACTATCAACATATCAAGCCAAAGAGTATAATTTAGTGAATTTGAATAAAAAATATGGTTAGGACACTCACCTGGGACACAACAAGGTCTAGTCCCTACTTTAATGAACATCTACATATTTCATATGAAGCAGAAGAGCTTTAAAAAGGAAGATTAAGAGGGGATCCCAACATCCATGGCTCTAAAACAGATCCTAGTTTTAAGTGCACTCTCCTGGGAAGTGGATAATGTGGGTTCAGATCACTTCAGGAAGAGGAAGTATTTTGAACATATATGCCCCACCTAACCACTAAACTCTTGTTTGTAAGAGAAGTAACACTACCTCTTCTTTTTCCTTGGTCTTTGAAAGAATAAGCTTTAAGCAACTTGCTCCAGGAGGGGAAGTGACAACTGTCTATCACAGAAATCAAAAGTAGGCTCCTAAATCTTTCTCCTATCCAGGACTTAAGCCACGCTTTCCTAAAATTTCCTAATGGCCACCTTAGACAATTCAGCATACTGGCTTTTGTGGTTTGGACAAATGTGACTAAATGTCCCAGAGCTAAAAAACTTAAGCATCTCAGAGTCAAGGTTAAAATTCCCTGAGTTCTAATTCTACTAGAAAACAAAGTAGCAAAATCTCACACAATACAACCCTCAGTGTTACAACGTTCAGTAAATAAATACATACATCTTCCTCAGGGAGATTGATAGTAAAACAACAACAGCAATTATATTAATTCTTCTCCCATTTCTCACTTCAAGTGTTATAGTCTTTTCTCCAGTATTTGCATTTTATTATAACTTTGATTTCCAGATCCATGTAAAACCTTCTTTGTTTTCCAAAGAAGCATAATAATGGGAGTACGAACTCACGCATCAATAATTTCAAATCTCTTACATTTTTTGCAAAGCATAACTACTCTGAGCTCACAGAAATGTGAAAGTAGTTCCCCAGTTAATGCTGTGGACCATGCAAAGCTGCATGTTTGAAAATGAGTACAAGCAAATAAATTTGCCTTCCTATTTTAAAAAAAAATAAAGTCTGTGTGTTTTCAGTACAGCAGCACTTTAAATACATGTTGAATCATTAGTTTTTAATATTGGTGTGATCGGCAAGTTCTGCAGCAAGTACACTAAGTCTTAATTCTGAGATGTTTGTGGATATGCCATTCTATTCAAAACACATTTCACAATATTTTAGATGTCACAAGCCAAGTTTTATGTTCTGAGTAAGCAAAAGCAGATAAGAGCTTATCCCTTTTATAGTTATGTTTTTACTATAGAATTTCATTAGAACCAGTGTTTATTTCCTTTCCCTATGCTTATTTTAGTTCATGCTTGCCTGAAAAAACAAAGACTCAAAGTCATGTTAAATTACATGTTGCTGATATTTCCAATACTGGGGATATATGATCTGGGTCCCAAGGTGCTTTCATTTGCTTTTCTCGGATCATCCAACGTGTTGCATGAACAAGAATCCATTTCTGCCACTTCTCATTCAGGACATAAAGCTAGTTTTAAAAATAAATCTGATCCATTACTCCACAAAACAGTTTGTTTTTCATTTTTAAATTAAGCCTCTACTCATTCAGAACACTTTATTTTTTACATGGAAAGGCAGCCAACTTCGAAAAATTTCATATGCATCCTCATATATATGAACAAAGAGAAAAATCATTAGAATATTAAGTCTGTAGATATAACAAAAGGTTCAAACATGTACAAAAGATATTACATCCTCATCAAGTCAACAATATTTTGCTTCATTTTTCTTTTCACTTCAGCACGCATAGTGTGAATTTAAAATGGTCCTTTCAACCTTTGACTGTAGTTATCAATAGCAGTGACAGGGTGTTTGTTATGTTAAGCCTGTGCTACATTATTATTTCAGCTTCTTGCAACGATCCTACCAGCGTCATTTCCTTGAATGTATCTGTTCAAATAGGGGCCCCGCTTCACAATTTTTTGAAATTACAGCCACCACCAAAAACAGTGTCTGCACATGTTAACAGTGAAGCATATAGAAACAGGGCTTCTCCAACAAAAAAGAGTCACAACCAGTAAGGCAGAAAGACTAGAGCTCATTCTATATTCAACTCAAGGAAAAAGACAAAAAAGAACAGTTCTATTATTTACTCATTTTTTTCTTCTACAAAACAGAATACTTAGGTACATTTTTAATAGTTTCTGTTTCTCTCCGCTCACTGTCCTCAGCTACAAACATCTGAAGCAGATTGCTAATTAGACTGTAATCTTAGCTCTACAACAGAAAAACAACACCAAGAGGATACCATCTTTTATTAAGATGCCTCTCTTATTTATATGAGGATATTTATACCTTTGTAATATAAAATGCTTTTTGTCCGTATCTCGAGTTATCTCCTTATAAAATAGGATATAAATATGCCTTTGGATGTATAGCTGAACCAATGGAAAAGCTTTGGCCAACTAAAAAAAATAAAAAAGTTAATTGTAATTATTTGTGTTTCCAGTTTTTTAGGCTAGATTCACAGCCAGCAGGAGAGCAGTGATGGACCCATCATTATGCCTTTCCCCTCCCCACCCCCATAAAGAATTGCCCTTAGCAGTTAGGCTGTAGATCAGTGGTTTTCAACCTGTGGTCCATGGACCCCTGGAGATAAGCAGACTATATCTAAGGGGTCCATGAAAGATGACTATGATCAATCAAAAGTATGTGAATACCCACACTTACAATTCAAAGCGGGTCTCGATCTCCATTCAAAATTTCCAAAAGGGTCCACAAATGAAAAAAAAAGGCGAAAGACCATTGCTGTAGAGAATTCTGGCATGCAGCTGTGTAGCAGACAGCTCCATGCAGCATACATGCAGAGTCCCTCCCCTCTGCCCCATTCCCCCCCACCACCCCCCTGCATTAGAAAGTCTTCAGGAGGCCCATGACAGAGGCTCAATGGCTCCGCACTCCGATAATGAGGGGTAAGCCTTCTCATTAACAGCCTTCTGCCCATGCAGGAGACTGGGGAGCAGAAATGCAACCATCCCTCCCCAACCCCAAGGAAATTCTTGAGCAGCACACTAGGTGGCAGCCCACCACCCCACTATAGAGCTACAGCCCCATTGCACATAATTACTCCCAAACACTACATCAAACTTTAGGCTTGTTCAGTAGAGCTTGTATTGTACCAGGGGTGGAACAGATATTCTTGTAGACCCTTTTGGACTTAATATCTATTACTTGGTGTCCACCCAGGCTCTTTATGAGGTGGTCCTATTCCATCTTTATTCCTATGATAGCTTGCTTTAAAAGGAGAAAAGTCTTTCCAATAGCTATAAATAAAACTAATAAAAACATCTTCAATAATTTGTGTATGCTGCTTTGAAAGCTGTACAGCATTAGGTAGTTTCTAGTAATATTATGAACACAATGCAACAATTACATTGATCAGTAGCAGGCCATTAGGCAAAATATCCTAAATTTGAGGACAAAGTAGTTAATGTTAAATATAGTGGTGAAAACTCCCATAGAGATTTCTGATTCAAGTGTTATACCAGGCACCATTTAACCTATTTAGCTGAGTGTGCACTCCTGAAAATACCCAATGCTCTTTTGCTGTGGTTGCTAGGCAGGTTAGTGATAGACCTTTCCATGAGGTTCGGTTATGGTAAGTCCCACAATACAATGTGCAGTAATGGGTCACCACAGATGATATCTTAACTTAAATCCTGCATTTGGAAGAGTTGTTCTGATACAACAGCCAGAATAGAGTGACTGAGTACAGAACTCATGTGAGGACTGTATTGCTTTGATTCTGTCCTCTCATTTCTCTAAACGAAGTAGTAGAGCACTACTTAGGTAATAGGTCGTCTAAAATTAGAATGGACAATGCAGTTAAAAATAAAATTCTTCACATACAGAGCATGCAAGTAGCTATTTACCAAGGTCTTTTTCCAACTGCAATTTCTTTAACTGAATGTGCATCTCCCCAGTGAGAGGAAGACATCCCTCCAGGCAATATTTCTTCTTTCTCATCTGTCTATTGTGACAGACACAGACACCCTAAAACCTTACAATAAGATGCCTTTAAAATTATGACAGTATTTACTCAACTAAACAATTTTAAAGTGTTTTTCCTAAACCTGTTAATTTCCCTATATAAATAATTCTCAATGTGTAAACAGTTTCCTGGCCATTACTGTACTAAGAAAGGAAATGTTATAAATATAACCTTGCAGTTTTATATAAGATCATAAGGATCTTAAGGAAGATGGAAAAACACAAATGCCTTAAACAGCAATGGTTGCAGAGATTTCGCCCAAGGGCAATAATATGATTTATGCAGTGTTTTAACTGAGCTTTAGTCAGTCCCTTCCTTCATAATGTACTTGAGGCTAGTGATAATTTATAGACACTAAAAGAACATTTGTCTTCCTATGACTGTGTTTGCTCACTTTATTGTACAGAAGGATGTGTCAATTTACTACAACTTGTCAGTGAAAGAATAAATTTACCTATATATCATTATAGGTCAATAAATCAATATAGTATAATGTTTTAGTGGTAAGATATTATAGTTTTTCCAAAACCCTCCCAACAGTGCTAGTTCATGCATTCTGAACAGAAGTGTTCTGAACTAAAGGCCTTGAAGATCATTAATATTTATGACCTGACATCCTAATAATCTGTGAAGTTTTGTTTACAGTTCTCAGTAACTAAGACTAATTTTAGAATTGAGTACTGTCTCTATTTCTGTCATTTCACTATTCCAATTGCACAGGAATAAAAGAGCAAAGGAAACGGAGCAACAAAGTAAATTTATTTTTAAAAATACAGTTATACACCATTACCTTATTGCAACTAGAATTTCTAAAACATGCAGGTTATTGGTGAAAAAGAATAGAAAAGAAATATTTTATAAAATAAGGTGGGTAAAGGAGAAAGATGTTGTCTCTAGAACATATAAAAAACACGTACTTTCCACTTTCCCTCCTTACCAGCCTCCTTCAGTCACTCCTCTGGAAGAAAAAGTAAAATATTACAGATCCACAGGCATAAACACTCTAAAGCATTTTCTGGCTCCACTCAAGATAGGTGTGGGGAAGGTATGGGGATGTTCTGGAGATAGGGATCCCTAGAGGGATGACTAACACAAAGAAAAAAAGAGACATATTGGCATTTTGTGAGCTCCCATTAAGAAAAATTTTAAAATCTGAATGTTTCCATTTTTTTCACCTGCCCTTACAACATGATAAACAGAAAGGGAGAGGACTATGAGCTATATTCATTTCCACTGCCTGAGATGAACATGAATATAAACACAAGAGAACTAAGAACATGAAAAACTGTTATGGTTATTAATAAGACAGTACCTTAACATAGATAAGGCAGCACCTTAACATAACAGACTTTCCCCTTGTTCTGCATGATTTTGCTTTCTTGCTTCTACTGGCAAACAGCATTCATGCTTTTGATTTCTGCCTTTGAATAAATATTTCAGGCAGTTGGTAAACATGAAAGCTTTATTTCATGCAAGCCATAAGAAAGCTTTTAGGTTCTACTTTCTTATGCAACATCCAGAATTTCAGTATTCTTAATGTTTATTCTTACAGGCAAGCTTGCATTTCAGCATAGTCTTTATTCTTACCAAGTCTCCTTCCCTGCTGCCCTTTATCCTTTGAATTCAAATGTTGAATTTCCCTTATTTCTAATCACCCCTTAAAACCAGTAGTTCTGAAAGCCTGTCAGTAATTATCTCTGGGACATGTATACTGCATCAAATTTTCAGTGTTTCCAGCTACAATATGTGAGCCAAATTCATTTTTGGTGCAACTCCCAGCTTTTATACCAGGGATAGATGTGATCCCAGGGCTACAGACAAACATTGCACATAAACCAGTTTAAGGAATCAGAAATTGGTTTAAAACTGTAACAGAACATAAGTTCAGTGCACATAAACCAGTTTCAAAATGAGCAAAACTGGTTTGAGATAAACCTGGTTGACTGCAGTATCAGACTTAACTGATTCAGCTCAAACGGGTTTATGTAATGGCTGTCGCAGACCCCTTCTTGGTTTAAGTTAAACCAGAGTCCCCCAGTATACCAGCATGCTCTCTAGACCAGGCTCTCCACTCCAGTGGGGCAGAGCTGGCCCCACCACTCTGCTTTCTAGCCTGAGCAGGGGTGGGTACATGGAAAGACACCGGCAGCTGGCATGGCCCCATTAAGTGGGTGGGGAGAGGGTTAATTCTTCCCTCCTTCTCCTCCCACACACCACAGCTGGGGTCTGCCTGTCTGCCAAGAAGCAGCAGAGGTGGAGGGGTGGCCAGGGCTGGCAGACCCCAGCTGAGGTCCCTGGGGGCAGAAGGGGCAGAGGGAGGAATTAAACCATTGCCTGCCCTCTTCAGCTAAACAGGGCCATGCCAGGATGGAGTCTGGCCATGTCCTGCTGCTGGAGCAGTGATGGGATGGGGAAGGGCAGCAGTCTCTGTCAGACTGCCCAGGAGAAGGTTTCATAGTTTCATAGTTTCATAGTTTCTAGGGTCAGAAGGGACCTGAGCAGATCATCTAGTCCGACCC